TCTGAGTCCTATCACAAGCTGGTTTACCAAAATATGTTAATTTTTGTAAATAGGATTTTACAGCAGAATGGATTTCACTAAACTAGCGAAAAATGAGGAGATCGAGCGAAAGATTGAGGACTGTTGCATTCAGTTCTTGGAAAGTCTAATTGCTTGGGAATGCTGTGCCTCGAAGACAGTTTCCCTTCAAAGGAAAAGGTTGTCATCAGTTTCCAAAAATGTGTCGTAGCTATCTGATTTCGCAGCATTGATATGTGATAGTTGGCAGTTATTAAACGCCATAGGTCTTTGTCTTACTGTTCGAGAACTTGGGACCAATACACTGATTTACAACCGGTTTATTAAGGCAAGATGCCATCATAAGCATGCCCAAGAGACCGTTTTCTTTTTTGATGTTGAAAAATTTGTGACATTTTAAAACCTCCGAAATGATTACAGTACTTACGTGAATTTAAGCGGCTACGACTGGCTACTAAAATGCTTGAGCTGAAAAGACTGCCAGTAACTATACCTGAGAAATTTTTTCCTTGTGCATTTTTCTGAGCGATGCAAAAAATGAGTTTCTGTCAGCAGATGAACTGTTATTTCATTAGTGTTGACTTCTGCAGAGTACTAAATTCAGTTCAGTACTCTGGCTTTTAGATTTATTTCCATTCGCTAGTCATTAACATTTTGTTTCTATGAAGGCAGAATTCTAAACGACATTTTATCTTGTGATGAATATTTTTTCTGAAAAACATTTAAATTGATTATTTCGATGGTTGATAAGCCGTTTATTTTTAGACACACAGATGATGAGGAAGTTTTTTCAATCCAATTGAATAAGCGAAACGTACATGGCTTCACCTTTGTCACTCGGGCGCTGTCACAGATTTACTCTTTACTTATATCAGAAACATTGGCGACGAAAAGGTTGGCTTCACTTACAGCAAATTCACGAGATCTGTTCAGAACCGTATTTTTAATACCAGAAGGCTATTAAAGTAACACAAAGTTTTTCAGGGATTTATTTTATGAACAGAAAGATCTCTATGGAGTACAGCGAAACTTGGATCAGAGTATACCAAAAATATGCCGGTTACTTCACGCGGATAGAATCAGTAACAATGTTGTGAGTTTTGACACTTTATTTTTGATCTTATAATAACCTTGACTGTTTTTAAATTTACAGAAAAAAAAATTAATTTTCAATTTTTTAAACTTAATTTTTTATAAATTTAATTTTTCTTTGCTTTTTTCTCGCCGAATCGTATGAGAGGGCAATATCTTAAAGTTGCAGTTAGCTGCTGGACGTGGAGTCTTAATGGGAGATTTGAAACTGAAGGACAATGACTCCGTTTTGGACTGTTCTTTAGCACCAGTTCTGATAAATCATGTTTCTAAAAATGCTTTCCTAAATTGTGAAGCTCGTTTTGTGTTGGTGGTAGAGAAGGACGCGATTTTTCAAAAACTGGTTCAGGAAGGCTTTTTTCCACTGTTCAGCCCTGCCGTGCTTGTTACAGTAAGCCTCCACATTTTTGTTTTGGGATCCACCGGGCTTTCCCATGCTATGTGGTTACTTTTCTAGTCACTGCGGTAAACAAAATGGTGTCTTTCAAGTTATTGTTCTGAAAGTGTTAAAGTTGCTAACTTTAGGCTAGAGGTTATCCAGATCTTGCCACCAGGCAGTTATTGAAGCTTCTAAGTAATTTGTATCACATACCCATTTATGGACTGATGGACAGTGATCCTCATGGTAGACTTTGCTGTTGCTATAGCCATGGCCATCTGATTTTGGCGTAGCTTTTGTGATTCGTACTAGAATATTCTGTAGTCAAGACGATTAGCCAGCAAAATGTTTCGCTAGTATTTGTACTTTTGTTTTTCATTGGGTATTCAATGGTTATTTTAGTGGTCTCCTGGTTTTTTATCTTAAAAAGGAGGAAAAATGATTTGTTCCGGTCATTCAGTGAACGATGTTAGCTAGTGGCAGTTAGAAATTGCTTTCGAGATAAATTCTTCTATCACTGTGCTTCTTTCGGTTCTGATTTTTGAGAAATTAAGGTTTTTAAGCACCTCAGAATTCCGGATCATTTACACACTCTGTTTTCGGAAGATGAGTTATATTTAGCAGAAATTAAATTTCTTTAGAAATTTATTCATGTCGGGGACAAGATTCTTTTAATATCCTGGAATTGTGCGTGGAAAAGTTGTGGGAACTTATGAGATTGTTAACCTTTTATGCAGCAAAGGCATCCCGGGAAGAAAAGATGGGGTGAGAATCAAGTCTAATAGGCAGTCTTCTTAAATGAAGTTATTTTGTGGGTGTAAAGGATATGCGACATCCCCAACTTTGCTCTCTTGTTACACGCATTATCTGGATGGGAAACCTTTCTGCTACAGTTCATTCAGAGTCTCCGTAAAAATTATTCTTGACAAGAGATACCATTGTTTTAGGTATTGAAATAGCTCTAACATATAAGTACGGTTCGAGAAAACGGCAGTATGACATTGGAGACTGCAGTTTACCAAATTTTCAGTGGGTTGGGCTTTCAAGAACCGAAATTAGCAGGTTTAAAAGTTAAACATAAGTGTGATACTATTTTATTATGACAAAGGCGGTTACAGTAGGTGATGAAACAGTAGGAGTTTGCTTCAGGTATCCCGTTCCGGATGACAAATTCTTGTACATAAATGAGCAGGAAGACAAAAAAATCCTTACTCTTTGTCGGAGAGTAGCCAATGTTAAGGAGTGGATCCTTCTTAGAGAGGTATATTTTTATAGTGGCTAAATTTGAAAATTCTTCTTTGTTTGCAGACGCCTCAATTGAGGAAAGTACTGCAGAAAGTTTGTTCATAGCTGTTAAGAATAATTCGCACCATAATAAAAATTTCTTTGGATGAAAACATTGTGAACTGTTGTTCCATTGAGAAACATTCCAGTTGAAGTGTCTCATGAACAGTGGTACTAAGCTAGAACTGGAGGCTGTTAGTGGAATTTCACGTGGGTTCCTCTTGCACACAGTACTTTGCGAGAAGTTGTCTACATTTGTTAACAAGGAGAAGTAACGCAATTTGAAGCAGTGAAATTTTAATGATGATGGAACAGACTTTCACTGTTTAAAAAATTGTTGTAATCTTCTATACTTTTTATCCTAAGTGCTATTTCAGTTACGTGTGCATACTGTTCGAAAGGTTTCTAATAATAATATTCTGGTTTAGCCATCACTAACCTCCCGCATATATTCCAAAAATTTTGTACTGTTCACAAATATCCTGGTTTCAATAAAAATTGTTGCTGATGAAGTAGAAATCTACACTTTCAGCATGTAGCAGAATAAGATTATTTTTTGATTAGGAGGTGTAGATACGGAAGTTAAATAACGCAAGAAGCGACAGGGAAAAATTGTCTTTTTTCGACCTTTCCATGGGCGATAGTCCTTACGGTAAATTAGTATTTACGCAAGGGCTGGGTCTCAGTAATAAATGAAGGGTATTTGCTCAGTTAACAGAACATTTATCAAGATTTTCATGATAATATCTTTTGGTATTTGCATAATTTCCTTCAGTCACTTTAATCCCTTCGAGTAATCCTGAATTTTTAAGGTATTTGCACAAAGTTGTTTGCATCTCTTCGGGATCTTCATCGTAGTCTGGTCCAGTTTAACAAGTAATTTACACCACTTGATGCTTCAGAAAACAGGTATGTCCCTTCGTTCATATAAACACCGTCCAGACATCCCGCGCATATGTAATTAACAGATTTTATCACTCAACCTTTCGATGTGTCATTAATGTAATGCGCCTTTGAGGTGTGATACAGATCAGTGGATCGACGATTTTAGAGAGAATTAACTGTGTATTATAGTATCATTAATTCTATACAGCCCTAATAAATACATGTATAATTGGGTAATACTACTTTCATCCTTGACCAAGGGTGTTGTGTGAATTAGATTTTTGTGCGGGCATAATGGTAAAACAGTCAAAAGTGTCACATTTTGACTTTATTTATATCGTTACCAGCAAAGAATGTATTATTCGTTTCACTCTCGGCGTGTTTTCTTAAACTGTTCTGGTTTTAGCTTCAAGTTCACGTTTTTTTTTATATGGCTTAATATTTTCATCGCTTTACAGAGATGGCAAAGTCTATTAATGCTGTGAATTTTGACGTCAGTGCACTTGGCGATTTCAACTCGAATTTAGTCATCTGTGGTCGTCATATTGCAGAAACCGAGAACTTGTCACGGTTTATGAAGGTACAGGTTGCTCTTCGGAAGCCTCCGTTTATATATTGTATCCAGTTTGTCTGGAAAAATGAAAAATTTTTGTGACAAAAAGGTCATATGAATGTATGAGATTAAGGAACGACTTTTGATGTGGCTTGACGTTCCCATAGTTTTTTTCTATACTTCCATTTTGCACAGATATTCGTTCATTTTGATTTGGTTCTATAGTGGGACTTACACTTTAGGCAAGAGCGATTTGCGGTGGTCTCATACTCAGCAATGCAGAGCTGCGGATAGTTATGAGAGAGTTGTTGGCTCGCATGGAAGCGGGTTTGTGTTCTCGTACAGGTATTAGTTTCAAAGTGATGTTTAATAGAGTAGAACAGAGACACTTGGGTTTTTAGAAGTTGATATCGAAAATCTGATTTAAAATTAATTTTCTAATGAATCTTCTTCGTAGCATACTATCAAGTTTCTTTTTGAGCTGGTACTTCAAGTGTTAAAATGTTGCCGTCTTATGTGACGGCAATTCCAAACGGGACAGAACGTGGACACTATTTGGCCCTTGACCTTGGCGGCACTAATTTTCGAGTTTTGCTGGTAACCTTGGATGGTTCTGAGGCAGCTATGCGTAGTCAGATATTCAGAGTTCCCGAAGAAATTATGACAGGAACTGGAACTGAAGTAGAGTAACCTTTTATTTGATTTTTGGTGGTTGCAACTGTATTTAGCGGCGGCAGTTTGGGATAAGGGGTACGTTAGTGATACTAATAGAAACTTATCCCGAATGAATGTCCGTCTCTAACAGGCATTTATACCACTTCAAGGTGAATTGTAGACAAAAATTCATCATATCTAATCTTATCTTGAATTCTTATACGTTTCAGCTTTTTGATCACATAGCGGAGTGTATGGCAAAGTTCTTGGCTTTGAACAAGCTAGGAAGGAACGCAGGAAGGTTGCCGCTTGGGTTTACTTTTTCATTCCCCTGCAAACAAGATGGGTTGACCAGTGCTGTTTTGATAAAATGGACTAAAGGGTTTTGCGCGAGTGGTGTGGAAAATAACGATGTTGTTAAGCTTTTACGCGAGGCTTGTCAACGCAGAAAGGTTCTTTTTTCTTCGATAATGCACGGTCCGTGCGTTCATTTTAACGAGCGTCGACGTTCAAGGCCTGGTTTCGAAAGTATGAGCACTGTAAGGAGACAGAGGTTGTGTTTATGATTTGGTGTTGCAGGACATAGATGTCGATGTGGTAGCTGTATTGAATGATACTGTCGGTACCCTCATGGCTTGCGCATTTAAAGATAATGACTGTCAAGTTGGAGTTATAGTAGGGACGGGGACAAATGCATGTTACATGGAGAAAATTTCTAAATGTGAGAAGCTGAGAGCTGAGGGAGAAAAAAGTGATGAAAGTCTAGAGGAGGTATTTCTAAGTGTTTAATATTATGTCTAAAATAGTTTAGACGAAGTCATTGCTGATGACATGGACGATGCATGTGAACACTCCTGGAGTATTGAACACTTCAAGAGTTTGTCTCTTCTACAGGAAGATTTCTCCGATTGTATTTTCTCCTGCAACTAGACTTTTTAAGATGGTAATCAATACAGAGTGGGGAGGTTTTGGTGACGACGGCGAGTTGGAATTTTTGCGAACAGAGTTTGATCGTGAGGTTGATGGGAACACGATAAATCCCGGGAAACAGCTGTATGTTTTCATTTCCCTAATTTTTTGAAGCAAGCGCTTGTCAGTTAGGTATCTCCTATGAAAGCTTCAATGTAATTGCAGTTGAGGTTGCCAAGGCATTGAAACTATAATAAGATTTCATTTTTTAGATTTGAGAAAATGATTTCGGGCATGTATATGGGCGAGATAGTTCGCGTTATACTGCTCAGAGTATCAGAAGCGAGGCTTATTTTTGATGCAGATTTCACTGTTCTCTCTACCCCGCATTGTATCCCAACGAAATACGTTTCAGAAATTGAAAGGTTTTTTCCATATTTTAGTAGGACGTTGCATAAGCAGTTCTAACCGCGAGGCAGTTTTTTTGTTGGCATGTCTAAAATTGTTTGGGAAATGACCTACTTCTTGTACAATTCCATTTTGTTTAGTGACCTCCTGGAGGCTGATAGGATCTTTCCAAGAACATCACAGGTATTGGAAGATTTAGGGGTTGTCGGTTACACTATATCCGACTGTGCGATTGTTGCATACATTTGCTCAATTGTGAGTAACCGGTAAGGCAAAAGAAATTATTACCCCTTCTCTCATTAACGCACTTCTTTAATGTACTATTTTAGTGCCGCTTCTTTGTGTGCTGCCGGAATTGCAACTTTGCTAAAACGCATGGGGAAGCCCAATGTCACTGTAGGGGTTGATGGGTCGGTTTACAGGTTCCACCCAACATTTCCGCGTACTTTGAGAAACAAAATTGCCGAGCTGATTCCTCCCAGTTTGAAGGTTGTTTTAGTTCCTTTTGTTGTTTTGAAACCTCTAGTTTTTGCGGGAGTGCTGGTAAGGTGGAGAATTTCGCATATTTTAGCATTGTTTATAAATTTGGTTGCAGTTTAAACTGATGCTTTCTGAAGACGGAAGTGGTAGAGGAGCTGCATTAGTTGCTGCGGTAGCGGCTCGAGTGAAAGGCGGATTCCGTGCTCCAAACACAAAGCAAGAAGATGTGAAGCCGTAGTCGCTTCTAGTCTTGCGGACTGTAACGCGTTTCTCTTCTTGTATCAGTAGATGTCTGGACTGTAATTTTCTGTGGTAGCGCCAGGGCTGGTTTTGCTGTGAACTGCTTCAGAAGTTTACTAGTTGCGTGTTCATAGTTGTAAAATATTGATTTTATTTTATAGTGTCGTCTCTGTGACCTATTCTATATATCCTATTGTTGAGGTTTTTTGGTCATTTTTTCGTGGGTATTTACCAAATAAATCTCGTTTCTTCCATGTCTTGGTATATATGTGCTGAAGTTTTGTAAGGAGGTGCTGTGAGAGGGTGAGGGGCCTGATTTGGACCTCATGAGTACGGGCGGTCCGGGTAGTGCAGCTATACAGGCTCTGGTTGCATTGGGGAAGCCTGGGAGTTTGCGGTCTGTCTCAGTGTTTGGTCATCTCCTAATGGAAGGAGGTTCCCACAAGTTCTAGGATTTTCGCTTTTTAGGATTTCTACGACTTGAGTTTGGTGGGGTTATTCCGTGTACGCCTTCATTCCGCACGCTTCTACTAGCCCGTCCCAGTGAAGAACTTTGAGGGCCAGCGCAGCCGTTGCGGCAGCAGAGTAACTCGGCGCAGGGTTTCCGGCCGGGGTTGCACTCGCTCTTTATGTTGGTAGTCAGTGGGGTATTTGGTGTATTCCCTCGAGGATGAGTAAGCGGTTTTTGCTCTTTTCCTCAGAAGGGACGGTTAGAGGGAAAGGTGAACCTGTAATCTGCTCTGTTTCGACTGCTGGTGCGGGGTACGAACTGGGTTTGTATTCAAAAACTGCTTCGAGATTGAATTCATTTTGGGAAGTTCGCCCTCCATTCATTCGTCATTAGCTGCACAGTCGTTTCAAGTTATCTTACTACAGAATAATGCTAATTTCGGAGACAATGGCCACAGTAGCACGTGCAGTTTAAAATTTTTGTGGTCCTTGGTGGCTACGGATTAGACGATGAGTTAACTCTACAAGAGCGAAGGGCGGGTGCAAGCTTTGTTTAGACGGCAGCTGCAACGGTGCAAGACAAGAAAATTCATGCAGACTGGGAAGTAAAAATGGTGGAATGCCGCGAACAAGTTTCAAAAAGTAGGAGAAGAACAAGAGGAAGTAAAAGAAAAAGAAAAAGAAGCTGGACAGATAAAACTTCTGCGCTTAGGCAGTGTTTGAAGTACTGCGGTTTAAGATGTAAAGTAGTTAGTCTATTTATTACGTCTCTCGCAAGGGGTCCAGTTCTGTTTTCGGGGGTGTACGGGTTCTGCTTTTGGGCGCAGCGTGGGAAATTCAACCGACAAGGGAAACGCAGTAAACGAAAAAAAAAGCTATGAATTG